GGGGCACTACTGCAAACCTCAGCCAACAGTCGATACAGCCAGTAACCAAAGTGAATTTGAAACAATGCCTTCCAGATATAAGTCTACAGTACCAATGCTACACCAAGCTGCTTCAATTATCATGGTTGATAATGATGATGCAAAGGTAACTTATTACCAACAAAACTAATAAAGATGATGGCTGAAAATGAAACAGGAAAATTTGGACAAAAATAACTGCAAGGATGAAAAACATTTTGAAAGGAAATATTTTGTAATGTAATTTAAATGCACTACTTCTTAAAACAGCATGTACAAATACTACCTACCTTCACATCATTGTCAGATGTGAAATTTCCAAGTGCCTTAAATATCTTTGGCATAGCAGCTGCTAATGTCTCCAAAACAGGTTCTTCAGTACGACGAGCAATGTGAATAATGCATGGAATCAAATTCACCACATATGGCTTGCCTTTCTGTGGTCTGTAACAACAAATTACTCACTAATAAAAACTATAAAAGACCGACTTCAAAGGTTAACATATAACAAAGCAAATGAAGGAGTATCACATGCTACACACCATAAAAATGCAGAAAGCTTTCCTAATGCATATGTTTGATGACTTACTGGATGAAAAAGTGCAATGAGTAAAACAAGAATGAAAAGATGTAAACCAATAAAACATGAACGTGAATGAAAATACTTGAAAATCTATTAAGGCAAGGCAGTGAGAGATATTTTGAACAGATAATACACATTAAGGAGAATAATCTACAACCTCTTTCAATGTTACTGATCTGTAAAACTGCCAATGCCTCTCATATACACTGTTTAACTAAGACTTCTTTAAGGTAAGAATTACTGAACAAAAATCTCTTCTATTCATACCGAATTAAATGGCAGAGTTCAGCAAATCTCCAAAGTGCAGCTCTCAAAGGACGAGGATTTCCATTTTTTTTAATCTCCTTGTGCAGTTCAACCTGTATTTTCACTACATTGCTGTCTGACATTGCCTACAAACAAACACAAAGGTAAACATCAAAGAAGAAAGTGGAAAAATGTTCCAAAAATTTACTTATAAGCAAAACCAAATCTGAGTAAAATAAATATAACAATCAGACAAAACTCATTAGATTTAAACAAAAAAACACATAACACAAAGAATGCAATATTCCATATTCTTAAGTACTTCCTCACCCAAGTGAGCACAAATTCATGTTGCCACATAAAATATAAACTGTACGTGACTAATAATAACAATATTTTTTAACAGTTTGCTACAATTTGTATCTTATTAAGAAAACGAATAATTTGTGTTATATCTTATGGGTACAACAAAGCTGAATGATAGCTTATTATTGTAAATGATGAATTAGAAACGATGTGGAAGGAAGCAGTTGTATCAATTTATAATTACTATTCCATCATTCATCCAAGATGACTGAGCAAAAGTACAAACTTCAGGGCTGAGAATCAAAATTGTGAACTCCCATATATGAACTGCTAACCGCTAGACAGTAGCATTCAACAGTACAAATATTCAATGTGAAGCAGCACAGCTGAATTTCCTAAGGAACTCCATCATTTAGCAACACTTCACAAATTCTGGATCCACAGGCAGACCTTCATGTTCAACTACTTACTCTGATGACCCTGTTCAAGCTTTCATCTGCTATCATGCGAACATCTGAGTGCGAGTCATCACACATCTGAAGCAGTATCTCAATAGCTATGCTCAGAAGGTAGGAAACATTTGGTGCTCCTTTCACTCCAGAGTGACACATTGCATCTGCTATTGCCAAACAGTGACTTATTTTCTCCTTTTTCCTGTAATGCAGACAAAGAAAAATGGAAACTACTTATGTGAATTCAACTCCTTGAAATAACTGTCACTGATCCTGGCATTGTGTAGAATCAAACATGTCCTAAACTGCAGGA